ATATATATATATATATATATATATATATATATATATATATATATATAATCTTTAAGAAAGGGATCATATTTTATTCATAAAAAAGGATAAAAAGTATAACAGCGATTCAAATTTTAGGTACCTTTCGGTCTACACCTCTTTAGAAAATATAATATCGTAGGCAAGCAAAACTAAGTGACTGAAAAGAAAAATTACTTTCAGCAACTGATGTTAAAATATACCAAAACTAGGGGAAGGAACAAAAAAAATTAGAAAACAAAACGCTAAATAATTGAAATAATTGTTGGACTTAATACATTTCATATATATATATATATATATATATATATATATATATATATATAGTCATTCTAAAAAGTGGAACTGATATGATGTAATCTCGTACTACATGGCGCATGGTCGTGTCACCAGCGATTAAACCGCTTCCCCGACCGGGCTTTTATAATGAGGAGAGTGATTAGTCATCAGGCAAAATTAAAAGCAAGGTCTGTGAAAGCGTGAACGAATCATCTTGGAGGTCAAATGCCATCTAGCTTAATAGGGTGGACTGTATGCAGCCTGTGCGATGATGAACCTGCATTGGTCGGGTCGGGCTTTTCTGACGGCTTTCAATGACCAAAATTTGTCTTCAAGTTGGACGCCATCGACTGTGATTTAACCTGAAGAGGAATGCGTTCCACTAGGTCTACTTTATATATATATATATATATATATATATATATATATATATATAATCGACTCTCCCGTCGAGATTCGACGTATGAGGGTCAAGCAGATCAGTTTCCAGGAAACCGACAGCCCGACACCGGCACATGAGATTTGATTATATTGGTGAAGGCCTCGTGCAGGACCATCCACACTTTTTGAAGGGACGAATACAGAGACCTGATGCACCGAATGCCTCAAGGTTCCCAAACGACCCTCCGCAGGTTTTGAATTCAGAGTTGTCCTTCTTTTAGACCAGTTGCCATCCAAGGCTATAGAACCCAGTCTGTCCTGCTATTTTACCCATAGCTGGAAGGAGAGGAGAGGATTCATACATTTCCCAAGGGTATTAGCACGTAAGTGAATGTAATGGATTCGACTGGAATTCGAACTCGGCTCTGCGATTCCTCAATCAAGCCGCTATCCATTACTCCACCGTGCCCTCTCTCTCTCTTCTCTCTCTCTCTCTCTCTCTCTCTCTCTCTATCTATATATATATATATATATATATATATATATATATATATATATATATTATTTTTTTATTACTGTATGCTACACAACTACAACATTAATAAGTTAAAGTTTTAGCAAGGAGTCGGATGAGATTAGCCATTGTAGCCAGACAAAAAAAACAAACAAACAAACAAAAAAAAAATCCAACCTTACACGACTCAAAAAACATGACATATAACAAACATTCCTACTTCAATCAAAGCAGTGACCCCTTGATAATGAAAAACAAACCCTAGATCACACCCCCATTTCAAAACTATAAAAGAGTAAAACATTCCGTAGTATAGTTATTCCAAACATCGCTTGAGGCTGAGACTGCCATCCAACAGTTAAGGTTTAATATTGAAATTAAACCTGAATACGGATGACCTGTTTCGAAACATAATAATTTCCATGTCGCGATGGAATCATATTTTTTAAAATATAGTTATAGTCTAAGCTGGACTTGGTGTTTGCAATGGCTCAATAATATCAACTCCATTGAAACGATGTTTTTCCCCCAGCCATGGGTTAAATAGTAAATCAGACGGGGTATAACAATTGTTGGCTTCTATGTTCACTTTTATATTTACACACGCTCTATCTCTGATATTGAGCACTTTATCCCATAAATATAGCACACCTTAAGACTATATTGCTTCATATATATATATATATATATATATATATATATATATATATATATATATATATATAAGGTTGACCGCTAAACATTAGCCTTGAAATAGATACCCTACTCAACCTTACCAAAACCTCTTAGAAGATGATGAATCTATTGATAAGAATTAACTCTCTGACCACTTAACGAAGGAAAATAGTCTAGCCACTCCCACAATAACGAATTCTGTAACGGACCGGGCCTAAAAATACACGTAAACCGACAGATAGCTTATTCCTAAAATTTCGCTTGAAGATGAAACGGGACTAAACACCACAATCCAACTTAATTTTAATAATTATTTGGATATTTCGTCTCTCGTTTTTGAAACATGAGAACTCGTATGTAGCGAAGGAATCATATTTTTAAACAAAAAATATTATTATAATATAAGCTCTACTTCTGTATGGAGCATTGTCTTCTTAAAAATAAAAACAAAAAATACTAAGGAACCCCGGATTATGCACCCAACGTGTTCTTTTCTATTTTCTGCATACCTACGCACTTATATATATATATATATATATATATATATATATATATATATATATATATATATATATTATAAAAATTTAATGTTTTAACTTTTAAAGTTAAATTTTAGCATACAATAATAATAATAATAATAATAAAAACAACAACAACAGAACTACAACATCAATCGGAGTTTTAGTAGTTAATCGGATAAGATTAACCATTATATCAAGACAAAAAACTTGACCCAACCCCCAAAAACTTGACATATAAAATCCCTACTGTAATCAAAGCAGTGACCCTTTGATAATGAAAAACAAACCCTAGATCACACCCCCATTTCAAAACTACAAATGAGTAAAACATTCCGTAGTGTAGTTATTCCAAACATCGTTGAGGATGAGATTGCCATCCAACAGTTAAGGTTTAATATTGAAATTAAACTTGAATACGGATGACCAGTTTCGAAACATAGTAATTTCTTTGTCGCGATGGAATCATATTTTTTTTTTTTAAATAATTATAACATATATTTTTCGTTACATTTTTTGGAAGTGCTATCTGATGATCCGGCGTCCTTTAAAAGGGCTCTGGTGAAATAAATTATTATAATGGAACCTTAAAGTGGTCTGTTTTTCTTTAATATATATATATATATATATATATATATATATATATATATATATATTAAATTAAATATTAAATTCGTCGTAGATTTTTTAGACATTTAGATTTATATCAAATTCTGACCCCCAAAGATACCCTTTAAAGTAATGCGAAATAACAGCATCTAAGAATTTGAGTGAATCCTGTTATTTTATTGTCAACTGTATCTTCCACCTTTGAGTCGGTCCTCTCCCTCACCCCTTACCCATCTATACCTAGATAGAATGCGTCTAGCCTACACAGAGTGGGGTTAAGGATAAGGAATTGAAAATGGTACATCTAACTCACTCATATCTTCTCTCCCACCTCATTTACCCACTTCGTTAATTTCACATACGCTTGGTGCGGTCCGTCAAAAATGTGTAAATTTCTTTTCATTTTTCATTTCAACCTTTGGAAGTAAAGTCTGATGATCCAGAGCACTTTAAAAGGGCTGTGGTGAAATAACTTATTACATAGAACCTTGAAGTCGTCTGTTTTTATTCAAACATATATATATATATATATATTGTGTGTATTTAGGCAGCATCTTTTCATTCATACACGTTTCATTAAATAATATAGACAAGTGTTGTCTATTTATTTTATGTAAATTTTTTTCGTAACGTCTGATAAGTTTAATAACATTATCGTTGAACGAAGAAAGAAATTCACAATATTGATCCATATTTTTTTAATATAATCTAAGCTTTCGGCTTACTTAAGCCATTATCAAAGATGTCAATTACAACATATTAAACAATATACGGACACGACAGAGATGATAGTCTGTCAATGTTTACATAGATGATTTCTAGGCAACGATAAACACGTGCATACAAGACGCTAGAAGCGAAAATCGTACCGCATCTTATGGCGTCACACATGACCACCCGAGAGTGAATTGGAGAATGAAGTATGGAAAGCCGTTGGTATAAACCAATGGCTTCTGTTACCAATTATAGACATTTAAGAATATTTGTAGAGATGCCATAATTGATTTTGTTTAGGTTGGGTTTCAACTGTTTCATGTATAATGCTTCAAGTATTTTTAGTTTTTGTCTATTGTTTTCATGTCGAAGTATAGTTGTGTTTTCGACAAGTATTTTACGGAATTGTGTGTGCGGGCCGGCATGTTGTTTTAAATGCCAAAAAATGTTAGAGTTTTTATTCAAATGTAGTGTCAAGCGTCGTGAAAGCGAGTTTGTGGTGTGACCAACATAAATATTATTTAATTCGTTGGAGATACACTCTCCCAAAGGGCACTTGAATTTATAAACTATGTTGGTTTTTTGCAAATCGCTAACCGGGGGAGAAGAATCATTGCGAAGTATTAAGTTGGATATACTAGATTTAGTGTAGTATATGATTAATTTAATTTTTTTTCTAGGATCTGTAGTTGATATATTAGAATTTACTAAATTTTTTAGTATGTGTTCATCTTGTTTATAATTAGTATGCATTTGATTACGATATAGGAGATTAATATATTTGAGATCAGTAGAAGCAGTATTATGTACAATTTGCTTATTATTGAGATTTCTAAGAAAGCATCTTATTTGTTCATCAACTATATAGTTTGGAAAGCTATTATTAATAAGTGTGTTTTATATTCTTTAGTTCGCTGTAAAAAATCTATTTTGTGGATGAATTAGTTTCTACACGATGTATTAAGATTCTTTATAATTGCTATTTTGTAGTAATATGGGCATTCGCTCTTGTAGTTAAGTGTACATGAATTTATGCTGGTAGGTTTTTTGTATGGCGAAATAGTAAATTTGTTATTATTTGTGTTTATCAATATCTCAAGGAAGGGGATTCTATTATTAGTATTGAGTTCATATGTGAATTTAAGGACAGAATTATTTAAGAACTATATTATTTAATGAAATATTATATATACATATATATATATATATATATATATATATATATATATATATATATATATATATATATATATATATATAATACTACCTAGATTAATTGGGTGAACTTAACTATGTATGCAGCTTGTGAGGTGATACCCTCCATTAGTTGGGTCAGTCTTTCTTGACGACTTTCAGTGACCAAGTTGGAGGCCATGGACTGTGATTTGACCTGAAGAGGAATGGGTTCCACTAGATCTACTTTTCCAAGGCAAACAACGTATGAATTAATAGCACTTCAGCTTTTCATAAAAAATATCGAGGGACCCGGTAAGGTGTTCAGCTTCGCAGGGTCTCAGTGTCCCTGGTACTGATGATGTTGACTAATTATCTTGCCTTGTGTTGCTGGAAAAACTTGTCGAATCCTGGAAGTTGAAGCAACATTTTTTTTCTTCTTTTTTTTTTAGTAAATACTGTCCATCAGGCTCGACTAATTTTGCTTCAAGGTTACATACATCGGGTTCTTAGTTAGAAGAAAAAAAACACCTACTGCGAATGGCTTGCGTGACAAGGCGTTGCTCTACAGTTGCATAATCACTATACACAATTAAAGGATACGCCCACTTATTGCAGAGGTTATTAAGTACGCAGAATCATCAGCGTACAAATCGTTCCTGCAGTCATTTTTTCTCTGTTTTTTTTATTGAATTTCTTTCTTTTTTCTTTCTTTCTTTCTTTCTTTCTTTCTTTCTTTGAAACCGTCAACACTTTAACTGAGCCCTCCTTTCCACAATATTCTTTCTTTCTTTTTCTTTCTTTCTTTCTTTTTCTTTCTTTCTTTTTTTCTTTCTTTCTTTTTCTTTCTTTCTTTCTTTTTTCTTTTTTCTTTCTTTCTTTCCTTTTTTATTTCTTTCTTTTATTTTTTATTTGTTTCTTTCTTTTTTTCTTTCTTTCTTTCTTTGAAACCGTCAACACTTTTACTTAGCCCTCTTTTCCACAATATTTTCTTTCTTTCTTTCTTTCCTTCTTTCTTTCTTTCTTTCTTTCTTTCTTTCTTTCTTTTCGTCTTATTTTTCACTTGTACTATTTATGTAAAAATTTTCTGCAAATATTTTTTTTCTATAATTATTTTACTTATATTACGCCTCCACAAATTTTTTTTTTTTTTTTTTTTTTACAATCTGCACTTTCCACGACAAAATTTCTCTTGTAAAATTAATTTTGAAAAAAGCTTGTGTAGCTGGGTACAAAATTTTATTATCGCTTTTAAAAACAGACATTTTAAGAGTGAATATTTATATCATATCATTTTATCTCGTGACTCGTACTGCAGCCATAACAGGAGGATAATTTCTTGGGAAAGAATAACAGGTTGGAGCGTAACCCTCTCCCGGCCGGTTTTGAATTCAGACTTTTTCCTTCATCTAGACCGCTTGCTAGAACCCATAGCTGGAGAAGAATAGGACTCATACCTTTACCAAGGGTATGAGCTCGTAAGTGATGTAATGGATTCGACTGGAATTCGAACTCGACTCTCCGATTTCTCAATCCGTGTCGCTATCTATTATTCCATCTTGACTCCAACGTTTGTATCATATATACAACTAAATTAAAACAAAGTTAGAGAAATAGAATGAAGACAACAACAAAAAAAAAACATTCTCTTCTATGTAACCTGTCATAACCTGGTTTGATGTTTCCAGGACGTTGGTGATCATGGCTCTCCACAATTTCCTGTTATTTGTAGCTCTTAATAAATTTTTTTTGCCAATTAAACTAAACTCTGTTCCGCCATTCATTTACTCAATTTCTATGCTTACAGAATGAGGACAGAGGGCTTAGAAAATTGAACATTCACATGATATATTGAAGATGTGATGAACAGAGAACAGCAACGAGCTCCTGTATATGATTGGCAGAACATGAATTAGAAGTGAAATTAGTTGGATTAATAACATATAGGGGGGGGGATAAGTCTGTATAGAATAAGTATGTCCACTGTTTTCGCGGAAAAACAGCATAGCGTAAATGAAAAATGCCACAAACTTAAAGAAAATAAAGTATTATCGTCAAAATGCTTATGTTATTATTAAGATGAAAAAAAAAGTATTTTTAATTATTTTTGAAATTTTTTAATATTTTCTAACACGTTCGAAATTTTGGTTAAAGTCGTCTTTGTTTACGTCATCGCGGCGACCTTTAAAATAACATAGTTTTTTTTTTGCGTTTTTTTACCGTTGAAAATATATTGATTTGGAAATTCTTGTAAAAATAGAATAATTGTCCAATCTTAATGAAATTTTCAGGACTTATTCACAAATGAATGAAATTATTTTTCAAATATTTTGTTTTTAGAAAATTTTGGTAAAAAATATTTTTTTTTAAATATGTTACCCCCACTTAGTTAATTTCATGAAATTTCGCCCAAAACCTTTTTGGCTCCTCAATTTTATTTTTTGTTAAAAAGAAGGAATCTTTGGAGATGGTAAATAACCTACTTTTCTTTCACAAATTTGAGCTACTTAACTGAAAATCTTGTCTGAATTAAAAAATAATGAATCCAATAAAACTATGATATTACTTAATTAGAAAAGCTTTTAATTGCTTTTGTAAATAAGTAATATTAAGGACATTATTGTCTGAAGAAATAATTTTTTCTGATGAATAATTAATTTTTACAAGAATTTTTTCGGTTTTTTAAGAAGTTTTAATTATAATAATTTATAATAGTTTAACATCGCGTAAAGCTCTGTATTAGGAGGGCCCCTCAATATTATGTAGTAATTAAGTAGAAAAAAAATTTACGAATCCAAATTTGCTAAGTTTAATAAATTTAGTTGAGCTACTTTTTTTAAAAATAATTTTTTATGTTGTATTTTTTTACTTAATACATTCCTTATTTCCATGTATGATATACAGAAATTGCCATTATTATAACAAGGTCACGTGATCTAAGGGTTTTGTCCCTTTACGTGGCTTTTTCAAAACATTTCGTTTATTAACAGATTGTATTTTCCGATCAGCTGTAAAAGTGTAAACTTTAAATTTTAAATTATTTTTTCTTTTTTTCATTTACTATTTCACTAAATAATTTTATTTTATGTATTGTATTTCCATTAGTGTGTGTCATACTAAAATAGAATAATTTTTTTAAAAACTCAGACTTAAAAATTATGTCATTTATGGTCATCAGTAGTAGCTGTTATCGGCTCGTCAATCAACCAGTATCAATAAGATCGAACAGATGAACGGGACCGCTCGTAAATAATTGCTTGTATATTATTTTTTTATGCTATAAGTAACAAAGATTTCTTTGAAATCAGATTACTTTAACTTTAACTTTTTTAATTTTACTAAAATAACGTGTCAGAATTTTTTTTAAATATTTTAAAAATCGATAAATTTGTGTTTGTTTACAAATTTCTTAAAATTAAGAAAATGGCCGTTTTTAAGAAAATTTAAAAATTTGAAATTAAATTTGACAATCAAATGTATATAGTTTCTATCTGAAATACACCAGAATTGTTTAATTAATAGAAATCGTAAATTTAGTTATTAAACTTTCAATTAAAGCTAAAATGAAATCTTCAAGAATGTTTTTTCATTGTAAAAAATTCATTTTAAACTTCAATATAGAAAATTTATGCCGAAATAGTGGACATACCCAGTATAGAAATAACACAATTTCTTATTAGTGACGATGTGATTGTCAGGAAAAGATCGTGCACATCATCCAGGGGTCGGCAACTCATTCGACCTCCACGGGGCCGGGTCGTGTTATAATGACGGGTCGCGGGCCAGGACGAAGGCCATTAATGAAAAAATTAAGGAAAATTACATATGTAGACTCCCTGTCAAACTAAATATTTAAAAACCATAATGAAAATAAACATTGAGAAATCAGAAAAACAAAAGAAAATCTAAAATTAAAAAAAAAAACACCAAACAACATTACTTTTCCTCAAGAAACGTCAAAATACTTCAAAGTGAAAAAAAAAATCAACCGAAGTAAAATGGATGAAATTATGACGTGTAGGTTTGAAACTGTTATTAAAAATTGTTCCACAAACGACCCACCCACCCACACACACACATCAAACAAAAACGAAGCACATATACCCATACATACGAGTACAAATAGTTGCAAACATATACACTTACGTACGTACATATGCGGTATCATCCACACATTCATGAGGCATGTATGTATAATGCGCGTATGTTTATCCGTCTTTAGATTTCTGCTACCTCGCATGTCAGCCCCTCCTTGGCCTTTTCACTTTATCGCTCCTTTCGCTTCTGTTATCTTTTAATGTAGCCAAGGGTCATAACAAATATGTATCCATTGGTAAAATGTCTCATGAAAGATAACTGGCAGATAGTCTAATATTTTTAGTGCACTGAGATGTGTAGACATTCTATGGAAAATGACAAATATATAACAAATTTCATTTGAAGGTCGTCTCTCATGTTAAAAATAGAGTCATTGGTAATCAGGCTCACGGGCCGGTCAAAATGCCTTCGCGGGCAGGATCCGGAGCGCGGGCCGTAGGTTGCCGACCCTTGACATAATCCGTCCTTTCTCGACGTGTCAAGCATATCGATATCAGTCAGTTATGTAACATTCGTGATACACGCTTAGGTGATCATGTGTCTTTCGATACATGACTGAGGAGGCAGATTTTTTTTGCCTGTGGGGTATAGAAACTTGTCTGTCCTGCTATTTACCCATATTTGTGGCGGGGAGAAGAAGAGGATACATACCTTTCCCAAGCGTATTAGCACGTAACTTAATATAATGGATTCAACCGGAATTCGAACTCGGCTCTCCGATTTATCAATCCGTGCCTTCTAGTCAGTTATGTGCCATGCGTGATACACGCTTAGGCGATCATGTATCTTTGGATATATGACTGACGAGGCAGATTTTTTTCCCGCAGTAGGTTGCCATTTCTTTCTGCGTTAGGCCAGTTGCTAGGCTATAGAACCAGGTCCGTGCTGCTATTTACCCATTGCTGGCAAAGGGGAAAATGTGATTAATATCTTTCCCAAGCGTATTACCACGTAAGTTAATGTAATGGATTTGACTGGAATTCGAAATCGGCTCTCCGATTCCTCAATTCGTGCCTCCTAGTCAGTTAAGGTTACACGCTTAGGCGATCATGTATCTTTCGGGATACATGGCGATACCCATAGTTGTAGGATTCAAACCTTTCTTTCAAATGTAATAGATACATGACTGATCCGAGTCAGTTATGTGCCTTGCGTGATACACGCTTAGACAAATTTTACCCATAGTTGTGGGGAGAAGAAGAGGATTCAAACCTTTCCCAAGGGTCTTAACGCGTAATGGATTTAACTGGAATTAACGCGTAATGGATTTGACTGGAATTAAAACTCGGCTCTCCTAATCCTCGATCCGAGCTGCTATCCATTACTCTACCGTGTCTCCTTCAGTTATGAGCCATGCAGGATATCTTTCCCTCCGACAGATTTTTTTCGCGCGGTAGGTTGCCATTTCTTTCTGCGGCTCTCCGATTCCTCACCCGAGCCGCTATCCATCGTACCTCCTTACAGATATTGGTATCACTACCGCTAAAGCTCTGGCTGTGATCACATCCAGTGTGTGGTCTCTTTAAACGTCGGGAAATGCCGAGCAATTTTTTCTCTGCTTGAAGAATTTGATTCGTACGCACTTTCATATCAGATAAAATTTTGCCTAAATGACGGTCTGTCATGCTAGGATTATTCAGTCTCTTCTCGCATGTGGAACTCTCTGCGTGTTTCTTACTTCAAACATTTAAATGCAATATCAATCATTATATGGCTTCTTCATTTCTGGTCTTTTCCTGCTTCTTAATAATTCGCCAAATTATTCCACACTCCGTACGGTGGGGTAATAGATAGCGGCTCGGACTGAGAAATCGGATAGCCGAGTTCGAATTCCAGTCGAATCCATTACATTCATAATACCCTTGGGAAAGATATGAATCTTCTTCTTCTCCCCCAGCTATGGGTAAATAGCAGATTCTATAGCCTTGGCTGGTAATTGGTCTACCGCAGAAAGAAATACTGCCTCGTCAGTCATGCATCGAAAGATAGATGATCGCTTAAGCGTGTATCATCCATGGCTTATAAAAAATTACTCCAGTTTGTGGGACCTTACCCATAATAACATAATGGACTATTCGATACGTAATAAATACTGCGCCTCAAGAGGAAGCAGGGAGTTCAGTCCGAAGTTGGGCGACCGGCTGATCGGCTGATCGGTTGAACTCTCTGCTAGGAACCCGAACGAGGCTACGCCGAAGGGCAGAATCTCTTTCGGGGAGGTAAACCGACCCTGAACCCGTTTATACGGGTTCAAAGGGCATATTTTTGGCCGAGCCCACGGGCTCGGAGATCCCACGTTAAACCGGCCTTGTGCCACATGATGCCCTCGTGAGGGGGGGTGACTAAATACTGTTCTGTCTGAAGTCTGGAGTGAAGTCCGTCAGAAGTCTGTCAGTCAGTCAGAGCGAGCGAGTCAGTCAGTCGAGTCAGAGGCAGTCCGAAACAGAGTCGCGTTCAGACAATTACTACAAGACATTGGAATAGTGATACTGGTCGAGACTACATTGTTCTCCCTACTAAACCTGATTGTTCGTACTAACACTTTCTACTTCTCTGTATATATTCCTGTTTGTAATATATCTGTGTTATTCCATACCTGTGTTTGAGTTCTTCTTTATTGGTTCTACCTTGGACTATCACCGTGGTACAAGGAACCGGACCACAACACTCCACAATTCCTGACCAGTGGAAATCATTTTTTTAAAATGGTGTAATCACATTCCTAACGCTCTGCAGCGTTGCTCGTTTCAAAACTAGGTGAGCTTCCTGACAAGTACCTCTTTGCAGATCAATTAAAACGCATTCACAGTGCGTTGTGGTGATGCTTGACAGTGTTCACACACACACACACACACACACACACACACACACACACACATAGGAAAAAAATCTCTATCACCACGAGACTCGCAATTAAGTTGGATTTCACGAAAGCCTCTTGTAGGAAATGAAATAAAAATAAAACTGACAACTCCGTTAATTTCGCTTCGCATGCACAACCGTTGGTATGCGATGAGACACATTTTTCCGCGCAGATTCGAACTGACAAGATGGGCGGGAACATCAACAGACAATATTCACTTACGAATCAAAAACAAAAGATTTTAAACTTCCTTAATGTCCTTACGTTAAAATATTGTTTTATTATTATTTTATTATTATTACTATTAATAATAATAATAATTGTCGTTGGAGTCCTCGGTATGATGGTGAAAGTTTCTGATAGGCACATTGAAGATATCCGTGGAAGCCCATGGCCTGAAGAAAAACAAAATATTGTACAGATCTCACCTTACGAAGTCTTTCTCCATAAAGAACTTAGGCTCGTGAGTTAAAAACTGCTCAGTGGAAAATGTCATGATGCCATTTCTGACCTTTGGTCTCTGGTTGAGACCCGGAAAAAAAAGGGTTATACAACATAAATCAAAGGAAATAATAATAATAATAATAATAATAATAATAATAATCTTCATGGTAATAATAATAATAATAATAATGGTGATGAAAATAACAATAATAATAATGGTGATGATGATGATGATAATAATAATGATAATATTGATGATGATGATGATAATAACAATGGTGTTGTTGTTGATGATGATGATATTAAAAAGGTTATACAGCAAAAATCAAAGGAAATAATAATAATAATAATAATAATAATAATAATAATAATAATAATGGTAATAATGATGATAATGGTAATGGTGATGATGATAATAATAATAATAATGGTGTTGTTGATCATGATGATGATGATGATGATAATAATAATGATGAGGATGATTATGGTGCTGTTGTTGTTGATGATGATGATGATCATGATATTAAAAAATAATGTTGATGAAAATAATAATAATGGTGCTAATAATAATAATAATAATAATAATAATAATAATAATGGCGATGATAATAATAATGGTGATGATGATGATGATGATAAGAAGAAGAAATCAAAATCTAAGAAATGTGGTACATGGGAACATCAACAATCCCTGTTGTATTTGAAACCCTCAGACTGGTTAGAAAAGATTCCAGTAGACTCATTGAAGGGATTTCTGGAAGCCCCATGGCTTAAAGAAATACAAAAAATTGTCCTCCTTACGAAGCTCTTTATCTATGTAAAATATGTGCGAGATTTTTGTCAAAACTGGTCAGTGGAAGATGTCAGGATACCATTTCTTACCTTAGGTCTTTGGTCGGGACCCGGAAAGAAATGTTTACACACCAGAAATCAAAATAAATAGAATAATAATAATAATAATAATCGTGATGATGATGATAAAAATAATACAACATTCCGTATTTTACTTTTGCTTTTTCTAGAAATACTTCAGGATAACTGTTCTGGTGAAGTTTTTCTATGAAACTGTAGACGAATACAAATGCTATATATAATGTAATAGTATAGATAATGTATTATATATATATATATATATATATATATATATATATATATATATATATATATATATATATATATATATATATATAATGTAAATATTGTAAAATATTAAAAAAATAGCGTGTTGAAATAGAAGCCCCTTTTTTTTTCATTTACTTTGTGCAGGGCTATAGACAAAATACACACTGTTTATAATTTTTAAAAAAACAGGGCGTCTATTTCAAACACGGTTATCCACTAAAATAAGCTTTGAAGGAATAAAAATGTCGAATTAAAATACATTCATCACACACACACACACACACACACACACATATGTATATAGGGTCCGATAGGTACCATATTCGGTTCGTAGAGTTTTTTCAGATTTTTTTTTTCTTTTCCATTGAAGCCATGTCGCTATGGATGATAGAACTCACGATGGTAGAATAACAGTAGTTCCGCGAGAGTTTCATCGCCGATTCAACATTCCCCGAAATCAGGCTCTTCCCACTCGTAACACGATCTTAGGTTGGGTTCATGCACTTCTTACACGAGGTACCCTAATAAAGTAGCAGACCGATGGGGTGCGCCACGAACGGTACGTACCCCAGAAAATATGGAACGCATCAGAGAATCTTTGCTGCGCAGTCCGAATTGCTCTCCTCGAAGGCATTCGACCGAACTTATCGATAATCGTTTGGTAAGGCGTATTTTGCATGAGGAGCTGCATTTCCACCCCTATAAATTGGCCATTGGGCAGCAGCTGAGACCAGGGAACTGTGGCTTTACTTCGCACGTCAGATGGGAGCAATTTTTTAGGCAAATAGCAACCTCATTTTGTTAATGAGTGATGAAGCTCATTTTCATCCTAGCGTCAAGGTGAATCAACAGAATAATCGTTTCTGGGCTCTTGAAAATCGGAGATAACTGCACGAAAGACCAGTGTACAGCCCACAAGTGACGGTTTGGGGTAAGGTTGGAAAAGATGGCGTCATTGAATTTTTCTTTTTTGAAGACCATAACGAAAATTCTGTTACTGTGAACTCCGAACGTTACAACGTGATGATAACTTCTTTGTGGCTGAATTACGACGAAACCTAAAGGCACGTTGTATATCAGCATATGCCCCGTACATTGGACGATTTGAAGAAAGCTATTCGCGTGGAAGTCGTCCAAATCGACAGGTCAATGCTGGAAAGAGTGGAGGTCAGCTTTCAAGAACGCCTTCAGAAATGCATCAATAAAAACGGACACCACGCGAGGGACGTTTTCTTATTCGACGTGCATGGTTTCGGAAGGAGGAGGCAACGGCCCACGCAGCCAGACCATCAATGGACGTTCTTCACCGTCTCTTCGGTGACAGCCTCATTTCTAAGTTTGCTGACACTCCTTGGCCTCCTCGGTCCCCTGATTTGTTTACATGTGTCAGACAAGCTTTGCTGAGCAGTGCGAATCATTCTACTCAGAGGCATGCTACCGAACTTGGTATTGATAACCGTTCGGTAAGGACTATTTTGCATGAAGAACTGCATTCCCCCCACCGTACAAATTGGTCACTGAGCAGCAGCTGAGACCAGGGTGGGTGGCTATGCAAAGCGGCTAAAATTCGCATGTCAGATGGAAGCAATTTTTGAGACAAATGACAAGCTCATTTTGTTAATGTCAAGCTCATTTCCATTTCAATGGCATGATGACGTTCTTCGCCCTCTCTTCGGTGACGGCCTTATTTCCAGGTTTGCTGGCACTCCTTGGCCTGCTCGGTCGTTATTGGGCTCTTGAAAATCCGAGAGAACAGCATGAAAGACCACTGCACAGCCCAAAAGTGACGGTTTGGTGTAATGTTCAAAAAATTGGTGTCATTACATCGAGATAGTAAACAACTTCTTTGTGCATGAATTATGATGAAAAGGTATTTTTATCCAACATGTGTGGTTTCAGCAGGATGGGACAATGGCCCAGACAAGCCAGACTATCAATGGACGTTCTTCGCCCTCTCTTCTGTGACCGCCTCATTTCCAAGTTTGCTGACACTCCTTGCCTTCTCCGGTCCCCTGGTTTGTCCATGTGCTATTATTTCTTGTGGGAAACCTCAAGGCACGTTGTATATCAACATATGCCCCGTACACTGGACGATTCGAAGGAAGCTATTCGCGTGGAATTCGTCTAAATCGACAGGTCATTACTGGAAAGAGTGGAGGCCCGCTTCCAATAACGCCTTCAGAAATGCATCAAGGAAAACGGACACCCCACGAGGGACGTTGAGGGACTTCATTTTGTCAAATGCTAAATTCGATACGAAGACATTGATGTCAATAAAAAAAAAAATTGAAGCTAAAATTAATGATGCGATCTTTTTCAAAAACTTCCCTTCTCCCTACCTTTCGATATGACTTGATAACGTCCATCAGAAAAGGAAACGCATCGCCGAAGAAAGGTTTTTCTTTCTGTCTTTATTCATATATATATATATATATATATATATATATATATATAGTTTATGAAAAACTAGGTTATCCGTATGGGTAAACCTAAGTAGGATAAAATCCAGAGAGCTCAATGTAAATCTAGAGCAAATAATAATTTAAATAAAAACAGACCACTTTAAGGTTCCATGTAATAAATTATTTCCCCACAGCCCTTTTAAAAGGACTTCGGATCATCAGACTTTACTTCCAAACAGACACTAAATTCTATCGATGTCAGTTAATAAAACATCCACTAAATCCAAAAATAGGAAGAGGAAAATTATATGGTTCAACCCACCTTTTTGTAACCTTTCTAATATTAATATAGGAAAATACTTAATAAAACTAATAGAAACACACTTTAGTAAAAATCTTTTAAAAAAGATATTCAACAAAATGAATTTAAAGATTAGCTATTCTTGCATGAAGAATATTGAAAAAATTATTAGGTAACATAATAGTAAAATTTTGAGAGGTTTTCATGACAAACAAGCTTTGGAAGTAAATTCTGATGATCTGCAGTCCTTTAAAAGGGTTGTTGTGAAATAATTTATTACATGGAACCTTAAAGTGGTCTGTTTTTATTGAATATATATATATATATATATATATATATATATATATATATATATATATATATATAATGTGTGTATTTAGGCAGCAATCCTTCTTTCATGCACGTTTCAATTATTGGGTGTCCATATTATGCGTTTTATGTTTGAGATAGCTAATAGCAACGACGAGAATAGAAATATAAACAATAACATTAATATTTTTTATAAAAATCAGATGAACGAAAATTATAAGACGAAAGTAAAATTAAGAACATTATACAAAAAAATGCATAACACCATTTGACAATAGCAAAAAAATTAGATTAATTATTTATGAGAAAAAAATTTAAAACCTCTAACCATATAGTTAAAAATAATAATTCACCTCCTAGAACAAAATTAAATAGGGCAAATATTATTTACGAATGCCCATTAAAAAATTGTATTCCTGATCAATCAAAATTCGTAAATAATTATATAAGCCACACTACAACATGTTTGACACGCAGACTCACTCTACACCTTTCTGACAATAGCTCAATTAGATCTCATTTAAATATTCATGGAGACCTACCGGACACTATTCGTAACATACTTGCTGACAACACTAATATAATAGCATCATCTACATGCAAAAAAAAAAGGCTAAAAATAATGGATGCCTTATTAAAAAAAACAAAATAACTAACACTCAATAATATCAACTATGAACATATTAAACACTTATATGATCACATGAGAAATGTACAACAAAAACTAAATCAAAGCACATTGTCTGTCGTATTCAATGAAACATACACACACACACACACACACACACATATATATATATATATAGTTTTTCCGCTACACAGTTCTAACCATGTTTCAAAAATGGAAGCTCCGAATTTAATTTAATTTTCCATTTTTGAAACATGGTTAGAACTGTGTAGCGGAAAAAAAACATATTTTAAATCAATTAATTTATAATATTAATGCTCTGTAAATTTACATTGAGCACTATTTTGTAAAAATAAAAATATCTATAACAACACCGGATTATATATCTTACTGTTCTTTCTTTTATATATATATATATATATATATATATATATATATATATATATATATATATATATATATAGTATCTATGTTTGTGTGTGTTCGTTTGTTTTAAGAAGACTGGCCAAATACTTTTCTGTGATGCGGAGTAAAAATTATTTACACTTTTTACATTCCGACTGTTGTCCTCATCTTCGTTGTTTTTATCACAACTCGGCCGTGCTGTATGCTTGGATGTGCGGGTGGTGTAATTGATAATGGCTCAGGGCTGTTAATCGGAGAGTCGGGTTCAAAAAATCAATCAGGCTTTTTATATTCACCTTCGCATAAATATATTTGCGGAAGATATGAATCCAACTCTTCTCCCCTCAGCTATGGGTTAATTAGTTAGATTTATATCACTAAAGGCATTATTGTCTAAAAAAAAAAAAAAACTTCTTACAATATTAAAATATTTTCTGGCTTTAAATAACCCGCAATGGGGTGATAAGCCGTAGAAAACGTATCAAATATTTAAAATTAAAGAAGTCACGTGTTCGCATGCATGAAAAACATCTAAGAAAAATTAACCTGTCAGTCTTTCTCAACGAAACATTTAGTAAAGAGTGATTGCTGCCTAAATAAACAATTATGTATGTAGCTATGTATATATGTGTGTATATATATATATATATGTATTCGTTCTTTACCCTTTCCTCTCAATACATATTCTTGAAGACGCAACAACTGATAGAGTGTGTCTCTATTAAAACCATACAAGTGTTATCACCACTTTTATTCATCACATAATGCATCATTTTTACCGGGTATAAAAACATTTGAATCAAAGAAAATGCAAAAGTATCGAAAAAATAAAAATAAAGGAAAGATTTTTTGCAAAGAAGTAAAAAAAAAAAAACGTAAAAAAGAGCAAACCATTGTGAAAAATAACACTTAGCGAAAACACACAAATTGAATAAAGCAGACGACTGCGTTAAACGCTCTCTGTATCACACATATACCGAATAGACACATGCATATATATATATATATATATATATATATATATATATATATATATATATGGATATAAATTTGCAAATATATTTTCGTTGAATATCTGCACACATACACACCCAAAAGTGCATTCCCTTTTCATTTTCTTACCGTCGGTCGGAAACATTTCCCCCTCCCAGGTTTTTAAACGCATACACTCACACATATTAACTTATTCTTATATAAAAACGAAGTGTGTACACGAGCTGTCATCTTTATGACTTTTTTTTTTTTTTAATGGAAATATACTTATTAAATACATGCGCACATGATGAGAAATCATATGCACTCACAGACATGCGCAAACATGACGCGGGGTTAGAGGTAAAAAAAGTAAAGGGGTGGGTATATTTCGCACAATTGCATGCACTTACATATATCCGCTATTAAACGCTTCTCGTCTACTTTGTATGAGACAAACGCAATGATTTAAATGTATTTATTCATATTCAGAGATTAAAAGAAAATTGTATCCACACACTAACACATACGATCGGTATATTTCTTTTCTTTAGAAAGTATGATTTCTTTCTTTCTCTTGACACAGCGTTAGTGACAATACCTAGAATAAGTCTCCTTCACTATACCCGTCCCAACAGAGAGCAGAATTTATAATCTAGAATTCATGAAACATTGTGAGCATGCGCGGAGCCTTTAGGCGTTCCTCCTATAAATAAAGATTTAAAAACCTGATGTCAGAATCACCAACGAAAAAAAAAAAAAAATGTTTGATCGCCAACAATTTTGAAAATCAATTGTCCATACTTCGGGATTATTTAAAAGAAAATGTTTTCAACTTTCAGGTAAAAAAAAAAAGAAAGAAAAGCATTGTTTACAAGGAAATATTTTTATCTACTAACAAAAAAAAAAGTTCTTTAGAAAAGAACGCATACACCCTCAAAAATTGCATATATTCAAAAAAAATAAATAAATAAAATAAAATAAAAAATTTAAAAAAAAAACGGTTATTACCGATCGGTTAAATTTAACCCGAAGACAATTAAAACATACAATATGGCTTGGTTAAAAACGGTATAAAGGATATTTTATTGCCGATTTCTATTTTGGTCTAAAATAAACCAATCGTCTGGAACGGACGTCAGAATGATGGATAAACGTTATTAATGGAAGTTACCGTCCGTTTCTTTATTTTTCACAAGAAACGCGAAAGGATTGACGTTTAATATTCCGGAATATTTTCTTTTTGATACTCGGACAACTATACGTCACAAACCAGTTAAAGGATTACCAAGTAAATATAATTAAAAAAAAAAAAAGAAAAAAAAAAGAATTAAAATTAAATTATATACTGGTTGAATTTTACCGACGATTAACCTGTTTATGCTTTTACAAAAGGTATTGACTTTCTGTATTCTATATTTTAAGCGGGGGGAAAAAAAGCTAAGTTGAGAATTTTAAAAAGAAAAAAGAAAAAACGTGTTTCCTATATACAAACCCGGAAAAAAAGAAAGAAAAAGAAAAGAGAAACAAAAACAAAAAAAAAAAGTATTCCCGATTTCTTAAAACAAACAAACAAATTAAAAATAAAAATAAAAAACCGATATAGGCAAAGTTAGTCGAATGAAACACCCGACTTTTATCTTGAAAGGATAAACAGGGTCTAAAGTCAATATTTAAGTTGTCATACTTACTTTATAAACCAAGGAATCTTCGCTTAGCTACTGAACAACATTTTTAATAATATATATATATATTATAAAATAAATAAATAAACATCAAATTTCCTAAAATAAGAAAAAGTTTAATTTCAATAACTAGGATGACAAAGAAACGCTAAAAACTACACAACTTCGTATATGCAATATAGAACTGTTTAAAATCTTTTTTAGAGTTCTAATTCGACTAAACTAGGCTTGTCCCAGGTAACGCTAAAAAAAAGTGGTATACCCTGGAGAAAAAAGGTCCCCAAATGGATAAAAAAAATTTTAACATGTAAATGTTTATGTTAAAATTAAAGAGGGAAGACCAAAGTATTTTTTGAATATTTTTTCAGGTTTTTAAATCCTTCCTATAAATTTTAAAAATTTTTTAAAAAATTTGTTTTTCTTGAATAAAAAAAAAAGTTAGTAAATTCGATTTATCGGACATTTCTGCCCGAGTTTGTAAACAAAAAAATCAAACTTAGTTCAAAAATCAATTAAAATTTTTTAAAAATCAGTTACACCTTTTTTTTTTTGTTATCTTAGGAAATTTAGAATGATTAAAGTATACTTAATGTAATTTGAAAGAAACATTACTTACTTTTTTAGCAGAAAATTTTAAACCTACCGATCTTTCTTTTTTTTTTTGTCTTTTTAATATCAAATTCTAAATTAAATAACCGTTGTCTGATCTTTTAAACTATCTTTTTTCAATCTACTCGACTCAGAATTGATTTCTTAAGGACAATCCTGCGTTTTAACAACGGTTTCCCACAAAAACACCTCGTCATTTGCATAAGAACCCATCGATTTAAAATTTTAAAATATAAAAGGAAAATCATCGAAACGCTTTCACAACTAAATGAATTTTACTTCTGTCACTAATACGTTCTGCTTAGAGGTCAATATAGTAAGTGTAACTTAGTTCTAAACAAACTACACTAGCCGTAACGTGAGGCGATCGACTTAGGGATTACTCGGTATTTAATTCTATGTATGAACTGGTGTTAAAATTTTATGAATTGTTTTCAGTTTTAATCTACCTAAACAGTGAGAAACTTCCAAATAATTCCTGTTAGCTACTTTGTCTGCAATATTGACAATTTTAAGAATTTTCTTTAAGTAATTAAATCTAAGAATTTGAGATATCGATAAGGATGTTCAGATCGATTCCTTTCTCAACAGTTATTACTCAATACATGTGCGCAAAGTTTTTAACCATAAAAATCTAATCGTCTTTAAGTTGCCGTATGAAAAGAGTACCTTACAAAAAATATACAACCCTTGTAATATAAGCATTTACAAGGAAACCATTTTCGGGTACTCATTGAAGATCGACCTCACTCTATTAGTAGGATTATTCATTTGCCTGATTTACCATTATTAAATTATTCCTGTTGGTATAAACATTGTCTGGTGGAATTGTTGTCTGTCAGTGGGAGTATCCATCTTGATTTCTATTTCTGTATGAGGTTCATTCATTTGGAAGACGATATTTTCAAAATGGCTACTTTCATTTAATATCACTTCCTTTTTATTTTGTATCATTTTGAGTACAATAATATTCTAGCCTAAGTGGTTTAATAATTTTGAAAGCCTTACCTCTCAACCTCACTCGCTCATTCACTCACTCAAAGACTGACTGACTCACTCATTCATTAGCTGGCTCGCTATCTATCTATCTATCTATCTATCTATCTATCTATCTATCTATCATCAATCTGTCGAAATATATCTATCTATCTATCTATCTATCCCCTTCAATATCCATCAATCTGTCTATCTAATCTTATTCTCTTCGTCATCTATGTATCTAATCATACTCTTCAATTTTATCTAATACTCTTCAATATTATCTATCTATCTATCTATCTATCTATCTATCTATCTATCTATCCTATCTATCGAATTATCTATCAAATTCATCTTCATCTAATCTATCTATCTATCATTATCTATCTATCTATCGAATCATACATCTATTAATTTTATCTATCTATCTATCAAATTCTCTTCATTATCTATCTATCTATCTATCTATCGAATATCTATCAATTTTATCTATCTATCTATCTATCTATCTATCTATCTATCTATCTATCTATCTATCTATCTATCTCATTCTCTTCTCTATCTATCTATCTATCTATCTATCTATCTACCTATCTATCTATCTATCTATCTTGAGGATTGTTTATTAAGTGAAAACAATTCATAATTTATCAAGCTCCCGCATTCATCGATTTTTTTTTTCTTCTTCTATTACAAAAGACAAACCAAATCTGCTACGATAGCTGAACGGTAGAGCTCTGGACCCTCGAGAATGTGTCATTGACCCACGTCAATGTTAAAATTAAATGTTAAATTTTAAATCGACCACCGTACACCTAGAAAAGATCTTCAGCTGATATAAACATTAGGACGACGTCCGCAAACTTTGCGAATAAATAATTTTAAATAATACGAAAGTGGGGATTTTTCAAACTAATTGGCCACCGTGTTACTAACAGCCTCTAAGTTTTAATTACACGGTTATAAAATTCACGTTAGTACCGATAGAAACTAAATGGCAATCCTTGTGTTTCAAACAATCCTCATTTAATTCACACACACACAAACACACACACAGATATATATATATATATATATATATATATATATATATATATATATATATATATATATATATATATATATATAGAGAGAGAGAGAGAGAGAGAGAGAGAGATTACCACTAATAAAAAAAACTAATAATTTGTTTATGTAATGCAAAAAACATAAAGTTTATATTCCGTAAAAAAAAAATCTATGATTTGCAGTAAACATTTGTGATTACGATTGAGACGTTAAAAACTACGAGAAATGTAGCTTGATTTCCGACGTTTGTGTCACGTGGTTAAGCGTCGGCTGCAAAAAAAAAAAAAAAAGGCGGGAAAGTTCTTCTTGGCACTTGCAATTGAGGTTCGGTAATCGTTTTCCCGCGTTAGGTAGTAACGGTAATCTTAGCGAAAACGTTCCCAAGTTTTTTGACACAAAAAGTAAAGTAGACCGAACTAGATTTAAAACTGTTTTAATTACGTTCCGCCAAGCTAAACATTTCACAACTTCTGTAGTCATTTTGTCTACTTTAAGTTTATTTTTAAGTTTATTTTTAAGTTTAATTTTAAGTTTATTTTTCTTTTTTGCCTATTCTGTTACAGGAAAGAGTTCAAGATTTCAAATATTTTCGAATGACAATCATCCACTTTTTAAAAAGGGACGTTATCGTCTTTTCTCTTTCATTTGTTACGACTGATATTACTGTATATTTAGAATAATTGCACACATATATATATATTTTTTTTAATTTCAATATTTTAAAAGTATTTTAAATTAAATAACTTTAACCGTAGCTCTTTTTTTTTTTATTTCATATTTTAAAACAAAAGTTACTACTTCAATTTAAAAAATTTCTAAAATAACACTTTTTTAATTAGAGGATTTTAAACGTTCATTTAATTTATATTGTCACAATTAACATTATTAATAGCATTCTTACTTTATTTTGATTTGCTGTTTGATGCAATCATTTAGTAAGTACTTCATCTGCCACCTAAGATAATTGAAGGATTTTTTTAGTCTGTCAGCTTACTGGAGTGAAAGATTTTTTTCTAAGTAATAGATCAATACTCATTAATGTAATCTTTTATGTTTCAGATAAAGATTATTATTATTATTATTATTATTATTATTATTATTCGTTAACTTTGATTTTTCCCGCTAGTAGCATTGGGTGAATGTCACTCGAGATCTGGTGGAAGGAAGTTGTTCTTAAATTGTTTAAGTTCAAATCAGAGGCCCAAATACATACTAGCCACCGCCTGCAGCCATTTTTTGGATTTTACACCTTACTGTTCTAAGAGCGCCCACAGAAGAAAAAAACTTCTACATTCTGAGCCTCATACACAAGTGCAATCTATCTATCTATCTATCTATCTATCTATCTATCTATCTATCTATCTATCACATTTCTAAGTACCTATCTATTTATCTATGCTAAATATCTCTCTATCTATCCCTTGTTCTCAAGTATCTATCACATTTTTAAGTATCTATTAATTTCTGTTAAGTATCTATCTATCTATCTATCTATCTATCTATCTATCTATCTATCTATCACTTTTTCAGTTTTATCTATTTATTTCTGTTAAGTATCTATCTATCTATCACTTTTTCTTAACTATCTGTCTATCTATCTATCACTTCTTTAAGTATTCATCTATTCATTTCCGTTAAGTATCTATCTATCTATCTATCTATCTATCTATCTATCTATCTATCTATCACTTCTTTAAGTATTTATTTATTTATTTCTGTTAAGTATCTATCTAGCTATCTATATAACACTTTTTTAATTATTTATTTATTTATTTCTGTTAAGCATCTCTCTCTCTCTCTCTCTATATATATATATATATATATATATATATATATATATATATCATTATCGCATTCTATCTATCTGTCACTTCTTTAAGTATTTATCTATTTATTTCTGTTAAGTATCTATCTATCTATCTATCTATCTATCTATCTATCTCTCTATTACTTTCTCTTCAGTATCTATCTATCTATCTCTCTATCTATCTATCTAACATTTTTTTAAGTATTTATCTATTTATTTCTGTTAAGTATCTATCTATCTATCTATCTATCTATCTATCTATCTATCTATCTATCTATCTATCTATTACTTTCTCTTCAGTATCTATCTATCTATCTCTCTATCTATCTATCTAACATTTTTTAAGTATTTATCTATTTATTTCTGTTAAGTATCTATCTATCTATCTATCTATCTATCTATCTATTACTTTTTCTTAAGTATCTATCTATCTATGTATCTATCTATCTAACACTTTTTTTTAGTATTTATCTATTTATTTATTAAGTATCTATCTATCTGTTTGTTTGTTCGTCTATCTATCTATCTATCTATCTATCTATCTATCTATCTATCTATCTATCTATCTATCTTTTATTACTACTAATAGTAGTAATACTACTACTAGTAATCATCCATTGACTGACACTCGCGTCAATATTTTCCAGTCGCTTTTCACTGGGGGAGATAAATCCTTCTTTAAAGCCTCAACACCTTTTGTATTTGCTTTCTTCTTTTTATACTCGTTCTATACTTTACTACACGATACTCCCCCTTTTTTTTTTTTTTTTACCCTCTTTTTTCTCTTTCTTTTCTTTCTTTTTTTTTCTTTTTCTTTTTTTTTGATTTCTCCTTTTCTTTTCGGAAAAATTCGAAACCTATTTCCAGAATTACTTTTTTTTTTTTATTATCATTGTTATTGCCGGCGTATCTCTTTGTTCAAAGTGCGACGTTTTTTTAGTTTTTTTTTTTCTTTTCTTTTTTATTGTTTTTAACTCCCTCTCTCTCCCTCCCTCTCTCTCCCTCCTCTCTCTCCTCTCTCCTCCCTCCCTCTCCCCTCTCTCTCTCATTATCGCATTTTATTTTTCTATTACTTCTTTCCCATGCCTTAAGTACATAAGAACTTCCTTAAGTGTAAAGACAACAAACATAACACACACACACACACACCCATATATATATATATATATATATATATATATATATATATATATATATATATATATATATATATATATATATATATATGATATACTGGAGAAATCCAATTTCTTTCTTTCTTAGCTTCTATTCATGTAAAGTTTGTTTCTTTGTTATTGATATCCCTAATAATAGGTGTATTATTCACCTCGTTTAAGTCTGTTTTCGGGGGTAGCACTTCAGTTTATATGCGTTTTGGTGGGCACCCCTAGGCGGTGTAATGGTTAGCGAGCTTGTCTCGCTAGAACAATTACGACTGAATAGTGAGTTCGTTCCTCACTGGGTACCCCCACATACATTCGGCCGCATCCAAGGTACGCTTGGAAAAAAAAATCACAATATTCGTTGTTTTTAAACGCGTTTTTAAAATATAATAACAAACTAGAAGCTAAACTGATAATTAAACTCATCTTTTTATTATCGCCATCAGATGGTCAGAGATCGATTCAATCAGACAGCAAGTTTCTTTGAATTACCTACACTACAGCCTGTATGCTTCGCTAATTTTAAATGAAGTAGATTTTCTATTTGTCTACCTATTATTAAAGTCGATTCTGCGTTGAGTATTGCTTAGTGGGGCTAGTTTGTTTGCTTATCTGTCCGAGTAGGTACGTACCTCATTGCACGACCCATACAAAATTCGACATTAACGTAACAGGGATTGATATGTTGTAAAAAAATATATATTACTGATATTATCTAACATTAGCAAGAACATAAAAAAATATACTTCACATGACATTTAACACGAATAAGAGTAAAAAATAATACTATCTCCCCCGAATCTTGTCCATTTAAAACTCTTCATTAGACGACCTCTACTAACTGTCAGTGTTCCAGAGATTACTAACACTACTTTTAATTTCTTGCTTCAGTGTAGGCTTATGTATATTCTAGCATTATTTCCCTTTCAAGTATGTCTACTGGAGCGGCTATATCTAATATTTTGATAAATTGGTCTTAGTTCTTATTCAATCTTTTCTTATTTAGTATTCAAACCAAGTGAATCTGGTCGCCGACTGACGTTTTATTTTAAGTGACAAGTTTCCTCGCTATTCAAGCAGTATTATATCCGTTTTCAGTAATGACACCGTCTTGATGTTTCCAACACTTTTTCTGATTTCCTGTTATTCAACTCTTTATCATAGAGTTTTCGCGTCTGGTGGTATTATTATTATTATTATTATTATTATTATTATTATTCTGATTTCTCACTCAGTTTAAATCTTTGAATACCCCGGGTACATTAAGTTACCCATCAAGTCACAACAAGGAATTCAGACAGACAATATTTTCCTCGAAATATGCGCAGTGCTCAAAACGACTAATTTTTGGATGACACGAAGTTGGAATTGCATCATCAGCTGGTCAAGGAATTCAGGCAGTTTTATTGTGATTTGTCCCAGTGTGATAATCACTACTGGAATCACCTTCATTCCATTGCCATTTCAATTTACAAATCAGAGTAGTTTATAATTCTTCTTCTTCTTCTTCTTCTTATTATTCTTATTATTATTATTATTATTATTATTATTACACGTTATCACCGGATGTAAGGTAATTAAGTTCGAGAAAGTTTGCTAAAATCTCCAGCACATTACCCAGTAACTTTTTACACCTCGGGGGCAGTCTAGTTTGTACATGTTTAAATCTTTAACGAATTTCTGTTTTCATCCGGTTGACGACAGTAGTTTGGACTTACTTTTAACTCTGCCTATTATAATAATAAACACAATCCAAACATTCAAGTTC